GCCTTGCTTACAGTATCGCAATATATCGTATCGTGACCCCTCTGTCATGATATGTATCGTATCGCCAAATTCTTGCCAATACACAGCCCTATTATTTACTAAATTATTTTGTAATTTTTTCACTCCTGTGTTGATTATCGACCCCAGCACTCCCTCCCCCATCACCACAGACCCCCCCACCCCCCAGCTCTGGGAMTCTGCAGACCAGCTGCAGGGAGCCCAGGATCAAATTTAGGAGAAGATAAGGACTAAAAGTCAGAACTGAACATAAAATCCACGCATGACACCAACAGGAAAACTGCTGCAATAAAAAAAGGGTAAATATTCATTGTTGCAGTTAAACACTGAATCCACACAGGAACACAGTTACAACAACTGCAGCAGGAATATSAAACAAACAAGGTCAAACTGACTGCATTCAGCTGCAGAAAATGAAATTATGAAACCGCAGGAGATTATGTTAAACGCAGAGTCCCAGTGGGAACTTTATAGCGTGATTACAGAGGGACATTTAAAAATCACTACGAACACAAGCAGCAGTCATTAAATATAGTTAAATCATTCAATATTTACAGTCAGGTGCTTCCAATATGATTCGTTGTGTAACAAAAGATAAGTGATTAATTCAAAATACCAACTTTAGCCAGAAAACCATTATTTTTTAATTGTTTTAGATTTATTTCTTATGTTTCAGATCTGATCTTAAGCAGTTTAGATTTTTACTTCATGTAAATCATCTGCAAATAACTTTAATATTGATTTGATGCTAAAATACTAAAAACATTTTAAGAAATGCWTTTTTCTACGGAGCCCACGAGGGGATATGTGGGGATATTTTTCTTTTGCATCACCACACAGTAGTATTTCATTATCCTGCAATACTTACWCAGCTTTAGATTAAATGTACCAGACACACCCCTGAAGATATGCAGATATTTTGTGTGCAGACACAAAAYATCACCGTCAATTTCCCAAACTTGTGGCAACACATCCTGTTTGGGTAACTGGATATTTCAAAATAAAAGTCTGATTTAATTCAGTTCATGCAAACCAATTTGTAATTTTATTGTGCTCTGTCCAATAAAGGATTATCTTATCTTTATCTTAAGGGAATGCAAAATTTACGAGGTAACGCACCTCTCTGGCTCCATATTTTGCACATTTTGTGTGCTGAGCATGACTCTCAGCTACTACCACAGCAGACYGCAGCGGGTGATCATGTTTTGACCTATTTTAACATTTAGAACAGCACAAAAAAGGCTAAAACCCACTCCGCTTTGCAGATAATGAGCTAAAGTTTGGTGTGGTAGCAGCTGAGAGTCGTTCAACACAGACATGTGACAAGTTTCATGTATGAAAGGTTGAAGAATTCAAATATTAAAGGTTAAAAATTAGAATTTGAGTGCATAATGAGTCACGGATTCATCAACTGATCGACTCAAACTTTCCATGAAAATATGAGCTTTAAAATAAATAAAACAAATCTACAACTAAACTTTAAAATATTAATATACTTCTCTTTCAATCAGCTCATAAAACATCTAGTGAGTAAAAATGGCTGCCAGTTTCTTATGTTTTATTTGACTAAATCTATTGAGTGTATTTTCTATTTTTACAGATTTTGCAGACAAACTCAAAATGTAAACTTCAGCATATATTTTTTAAATTTCTTTCTAGCAACATTCAAGATAATCCAAATAATCATTTTAGATAGCAGCATATGTCTAATGTAAGAAATCAAGAGTTTAGCTCAAATATTTCAAGTCAAAAATGGGAAATGATGTTTTTTTTTTAATAGCGTTGAGTTTGCTGAACGCTGATTCACTTCCTGTTCACCATCTGAACAACGAGAGCGACTCAAACCTTTCCTGAAATATAAGCTTTTAAAATTAACTGGGTTCAAAAAGCTAAATGTTTACAAACTCGTTTTTCTGTCAGCTGATCAATATGCAATTTAAGAGGAAAGCAACAATGGCCGCCAAACTATCTTGTGTTTCTGCTTCATTCATTCTTAAATATTCTGATGAGCGATTATTGATGTGAAATAAAAATATTTGTGAGAAAAAGGTGGTTTTTTTGCAAYGTTGAGTCCTTCTGAAGCAGTTTAACTTCCTACATTTTAATTTTACCTAATTATAGTGAGAACATATGATAAATACTGTCATTATTTTTGCAGTATGGTGGTGGTTAAATTGATATCTCAGGGTCTAATTTATCCTTTCATAAAGAAAAAAAAGTGTTGAACTGAAATGTCACAAGTCAGAAATGAGAAATATAGTTTGCTCAACTGGTTAAACTCAACGATTCACTTCCTGTTTAACATCCTAATTCGTCAAACGTTTTATAAAAACAACTTTTAAACCGAGTTAAGGTTTAATTCTTCTAAATGTTTGCAAACTTTTATTTTTTTTATTATCTGATCAAGAAAAAAATTATTTTTTTTGAGAACGAGTTAAAAAAAAATTCAAACAGCGACAAAAATAGTCCCTAAAATGGCTGCCAATGTATTCTGAATATTGTTAAATATTCTGTTATTGATTTTTTTTCCTGCTGAGCCACAGAAACAAAGACAAGTTAAGGTGGTTTTTATGGAGCGTTTAGTCTTCCTTATGGAGTTTAACCTCCTAGATTTGCATTTAACCTAATTATAGTGAGAAGACGTGATAAATACCATCATAAAGCGGGCGGGGAGCGTGTTATTATGCAGTATGGCGCTGGTTATATGGAGATCTCAGCCTGTTCTTCTTTWTTTTTTTTTTTTTTTTTGTGGGCCTGGGGGAGGTGAAGCACTGCTCCAGCCTAGTGGCAGGCAGGAAAATAAAAGCCACATAATAATATAAGCTGAGCAGAGAGAGAGGCAGTCCTCTGTCTAAAATGTGCACACACATACACACACACACACACACATACACACACACACACACACACAGGAATTTAAGATGGAAACCCCTAATCTGCACCATGCCTGCGTCAGTTCTCGTGATATTTCTGAGAATAATGCAGTGAGATTTTAATTTTTTTCAGTTTAAAGCAAAGGGAGGAAGAGGAAGAGGAAAAGCTTGAAAAAAAAAAAACATTAATAACAACAATAAAATCTTTTATTCTGCATAATAAAAAATAAATTAAGCAAATAAAACTGTTGACCTTGGCTATATCCTGTTATTCAAAAAGCTTACAAGTTCACCTCTGGGGGGGAGGGGGGTATTTATAAGATTAAAAAAAATAATTGCTTGAATAAATATGAATAAATAAATATAAATGTTATTTAAAGATGACGAAATAGAGCCAGAMATTAAATATTAAACACATCACATGCTACATATGGAGGATTTTTATCTTTAWAAATTGAGTTTTATTTTCATATTTTRTTTCCACTAAATGTTTTCTGGATTTAAACACAAAAAAGAGATGATCCTGTATTTTTAAAGTGGAGAAAAACTCCTCCTTTAACACAAATATTAACAGCATTCCTCCTTAAACAGTTGGAGACAAAATGTCGGGGAGGATTTGATAATAATGTCAAAATGCGTCCTATTAAACCGCTCCGCCTCGTTCACACGACACACAACAGAAACATAAAAATCAACCTTTATTAACAAATACCACGTCGTAATTAAATGTTTTATTTTCAAACATGGAGAATCATGGCGACGCGGCAGAAAACAGAGAGAAAAAGAACTCGTTTCTTCTTCTACGGTTTAAAAAAAAAAAGAGCCACGAGCCGAAAAGTTTCCTGATTATTATGTTTTCAGGCAGGCGAACGGCAGGAATTTAATTTTATTTCGGCTGTAATGTGGCGCTGTGGGTGGGGGTTGGTAGCCGGGGGAGAAGCAGACTGTCGACACGACACTCACAAAAAAATACACAAAGAAATTAATCATTAACGCCGAGGAAAATATCGCCGATATTAAAGTGAAATTTCAGGGCTCGGATATGAACCGAGGTTCGGGCTCGGATGTAGCCGAGCGGTTCTCCTCCAGCAGAAACACAAATATGTTTTTTTTTTTTAGCTTATATGGGGAGGAAAAAAAAGTTGAGCCTTGCTGAATAAAGTTGTAATTGCAGTCTGAGCAACTCTCGGTTGCCCGATATGGGAAAACAATCAATACGACACGGCTACGCTGAATGAAACTAGTCGCTAATTTTGAGTCTAATTCACGGCGACGAGCGGCGGAAATACCCGCCGTTAACGGAGGACATCAGCGGCGGGGGAAAACGGCACAACGCGACATTTTTTTTATTTATTTTTCTGGAAATGATATCGGCCTTTTACCTGTATTGCATTGTGCTCCATTGCAGTCCTGCATTCCCTCTCAGCGAGGAGGCCCCTCTCTCCGGTTACACCGCCGGGACGCGCCGACACGCAAACGAGCGCACCTCGAATAGGAGGGTTTAAAAAAAATAAAAGGAAAAAAATATTTATTTATTTGTTTATTTATTTACGGTACAGGATCTAGGTGTGGCCGAAAGTTTTCCACACAGCACAACTTATTGCTAAAGTCACATTAAAGGGGGGAGTTTAGCATCATTTTTTTTGGCAACGTGACGTATTTCCGGCTGAAACTCAATACGAGGGCGGGGCTTACTTTAGACATTCTTTCAATAAAATCAACAACAATATTAAGCAAATATTCAACTATTTTCCCTCAGTATAGTTAGTTTAGGTAAACGTGACCTGTTCACAACAATATAGTCAATAAAGAACTTCATTAAACGCAGTATTTTCTAAATAAAGTGGCAGATATTATAATTTTTTCTTCTTTCTGCCACCTTTCATTTTCTTTGTAAATGTTTTTTGTTGTTTTGAGGTTTGTTTTGTTTCAAACTGAAAATGAATAAATTTATAAATAAGCTTAATTTTTAGCATTGCTTTAAAACAAGATCAATCATTGACTGATTAGACAGTCATTAAAACATGTAAAATATTTATAACAAATGTTTATATCTTTTCATACATTTAAAATAAAGTTAATCTGTACAATAAAATGAATGAAGAACATATAGAATATAATTCTTTAATGACTACATGAGAGGACAGGTGACTCTCAGCTACTACCACACCAACTTTAGCTGAAGTTTCTGTAAAACTGCAGCTTTTTTTCTTTGTTTTTGTTAAAGGTGATGGCCAGCTTAAATCAGATTAATCAAATGATGCACAACCAAAGTTTTATTAAAATCTGTCCAGTGGTTCTATAAATGTTTTCCTAATAAAAGACAGACAAAAACATCATCACATATGGCTTTAACACAGTTTCAACAAATCAACCTCACTTTTACAGACTTGTTTCCCTTCTCAGGTTCATCTTGTTGTCGTTTGTTGATATTTGAAAACACAAAATGACTTTAGTCATGTAAATGACTGGGTGACACACATTCCTTCACTGGGCCTTTAATTAATGAGTGATTTACCATAAACAGTATCTGCGTTCAACATCAACTGTTAATGAAATTAAATTAATATAAAATGTAAACTAGACAATAGAAAATGAAGTTCATCAAATGTCTGAAACTTAAGTTTAACCAGTTTATTAAGCAAATTATGAAGCTTTTGAATGTGGTCAAAAAAAAAAAAAAGAAAAGAAAAAGAAAGTGTTTGCTATAAATATTGTCCTGAATTTATAATTTGGCATATCTGCAGACAAAACTTTTATTTTTCATGCTTTAAACCTTCAACATTCAAATAAAATCCAAAATGCTTCCACCCTGTGTGCAGGATAAATGTTGACTTACTTCATAAATTATATTAAATATAATGTTTTGACTTTTTACATGTTAAAATCAGTTTTATTTATTTTAAATATTAAGGTTCATTCAGATTTGTCAAACTTTTAGAGTGAAGTGTTTATTGTTGGTACTGCAGTTTAAAATATTGTTATTAGTACTGCAGAT